TGAAATCTGGATCATTCGCGGCCACTCCGCGATCAGTGTCATCTGCTTCTGACAAGGACGACGGGGTCGCTGGCATACTGCCTGCTGTGTGCAGGCCCACCAGACACCACGATGGCCCCGCCGCCGCGCGATGGTGCATGGACTTTCGACAAGGATGGCGGGGGCCGACATGCTTCCCCACGTGTGTTGTCACGTGCGCACCTGGCACACTCTGCGCGTGCCCCGAACGTGGCGCACCTGGCGCGGCCGGAGCACGCGGCGCACGCATGGCGCACGCAAAGCACGTGGCGCATCCGGCGCGCCGGGCGTGCCAGGCACGCTCGGGCCCCAGCTGGGTGCCTGGCGCACGCCTGGCGCGCGTGGGGCGCCCCTGGCACGCGTGGCGCACCTCGGCCCGGTGTCGCGCACGCGGGGCCTGCTTTGATCTCTAAGAGCTGCCTATCCATAGACGACCTCTGAACATGCTGAGGTTCGCGGGTGCTACTTCTGTGTCGGGAGCGCGTGTGGGAGTGAGCGAGGCAGCTTGCGGGCGGGGAGGGCGGACTGGTCACTGCCCCATCAATAAACCCCCCCCCCGGCGACCGGCAGCCAACCTGGACCGATGAGACCAGCCCCCGCCATCCCTGGTACAAAGCAATACAACATGCATTTTGCCTCCAAGCTTGGAGCATGCGCGGGCGCCCCGCGACCACTTTGCATCAGTTTTGACAGGGACTGGGGGACGCTGCACATTGCTCGCTGCGCGCAGGCCAACCATCCCTGTCACAAGACAACGCAAACAACCTTGGCTCTAGATCTGGAGCATGGGCAGGGCCCTCCTCTTCTGAGCTCTTATCAGTGTCACGACTCCTCAATATATCACAATTTGTCCATCTGTGTCGGTGCTTCTCGCTCCCTGGAGGATCCGCCCTTCTCACATAATGCTCGGCACTTCGCTTCAGGGGTACTCAAGATCCTGAACTCCTTGGGGCCAGGGCCCCAGGCACCTGGGGTTCCTATTGGTTCCGCGTATTGGTTCCGCGTAGCTGGCGTGGCACAGGTGGCGCACGTGGAGCACGTGCCGCACCTGGCACGCTTGGGCCTCCAGGGTGCCAGGTGCACGCCTGGAACCCGTGGAGTGCATGGCTTGTGTGGCGTTCCTAGGCGATCTGCTGACACCCAGGTTCAGGTGTTACTTATGTGTTGGGAGGGCGGGTGGGAGTGAGCCAGACGGCTTATTATCTAGGAGGTTAGTAAGATCACTGTTCCTTATCTATATACAGCCCCTCCCCCAGGCGACCCGCGTCGAACCAGGAACCATGAGGACACCATGACGTCCCAACCCCCATCATCCTTTTCAAAAAAAACAATACAAACCGCACTCTGCCCCCGCATTTGGAGCATGCGCGGCCAACCCGATGCGCCCCCCCATTATCCTTGGCGGAGACAAGAAACAATGCAAACTACACTCTGGGGCGAACTCTTGAGTCATATCCGTGAGGCCCGCGAACACTTTGTATTGCTTTTGGCAGGGACGGCAGGGGTGCCAGCATATTCCATGCCGTGCGCAGGGCTACCATCCCTGACAAAAGCCAATATAACATGCACCTCGCGGCTAAATCTGGATCACGCGCGGCCAGGTTCATTGTCACATAGTTTTTGACAGGGGCGGCGGGGGTGCTGGCCCGTGGCCTGCTGTGCGCAGTCCCACCAGACACAATGATGAGCATTGGTTTTCGACAAGGATGGCGGGGGCCGACATGTTTCCCGATATGTGCTGTCACGTGCGCAGGCGCACCTGACGCACTCTGCGCGTGCCCCGAACATGGCGCACCTGGCGCGGCTGGAGTGTGCGGCACACCTGGCGCACTCAGAGCACGTGGCGCATCTGGCGCACCAGGCGTGCCTGGCACGCTCGGGCCCCAGCTGGGTGCCTGGCGCGCGTGGCGCCCCTGGCACGCGTGGCGCACCTCGCCCAAGCGTCGCGCACCTGGGGTCGGTTTTGGTTCCCAGTGCATCCAAAGACGACCGCTGAACATGCTCAGGCTCGGGTGTTACTTATGTGTTGGGAGGGCGGGTGGGAGTGGGCGAGACGGCTTGCGGGTGGGTGGGTAGCTTGACCCCTCCCCTACCCCCTCCCCTGGACAGGGGCGGGGGGGTTCGCGACCCATTGGAACGTCCTAGAAGGCTTCGGCGAGAAGGTACAGCTCATTGATGTTCCTGAGGTTTTGGATCCATTTTGGCATCTTGGGGGTGGGGGGAGGCTGATATGGTACTGCCCCTCCTGGGATCGAGCTCCTCCAAGATGGCCCCAAGATGGCCCCTAGGGCTCCCACGAGTGCCCCAAGATGGCCCCAAGAGGGCCCCAACAGGCGCCCAAGAGGCCCCAAGAGGCCCTCAAGAGGCCCCCAAGAGGCTCCCAAGAGATCCCCAAGGGGCCCCACAAGGCTCCCCCCCTGAGACACTCGAAACGCTCCAAGAGGTCCCCAGGACCGCCCGGAGGCCCCCGAGACGCCCCAAGAGGACTCCGAGAAGCTTTCAAGAGACATCCGAAGAGACTTCGAGAGATTGCCAGGAGAGGCCCGGCTGTGTTCCATGCTTAGGGCTTCCGGTATTGTTCTTTCGTCGGGCCACGCCAGATTTGAAAAAGGGTAGTGCATCTCCTCTGAGCAATCAGCCCCTTCCTTTTATTTCCAGGACCCCGCGTGCCCGCCAAGGCCTCGCAAACATCAGTTTGTTTCCATCCATTTGTGTGCCCTCGTTTGGCCCAGGCGGGCTGCCCAAAGGGGCTCCGCCGACGACGTTTCCCGTTCGAGTTTTCAAGTTTCCTGGACATGCGGAGTTCGTCTTCTCAGAAGCTTGCCCCGCGGTTTCTCCAAATTTGGAGTTCGAATTTGGGAAACACAGAGCGGGCCGATTATAGTTATCTGTTTTGTAGTGTTTTCGCGTTTCCCGTGATGCGGAACCATGGGGCACGCATAGCGGGCGGATTGCCCTATCTATTTGTAGTTTTCTGTGCTTCCCATAACTCTACCTCCCGAAGGGCCTCGCCTTTCGATTTCCCCGGACATTCGAATTTCGGGTTCTCAGGACGTTGCCCCGGGGTTTCCCCAACTTTGAAAGTCGAAATATGGGAAACGCATGGTGGGCCGATTGTCTTCACTTAGCGGGCGAATTGCCATGACTTTTTTCCCAACCATCCTGTGGTGTTGGGTCCTCGTTTTGAAGAGACAGCGCCCCGCGTCCCACCTCCTCTCCTCCTCCTCCCCCTCCTCGCCCTCCTCCCTCCTCCCCCTCCTTGCCTCTGCTCTCGGCACACCCCTCACACGTTTCGTAGCCCCATAGGGAGCTCCACCGAAGGTCCCAGTGGCACAGCCCGCATGCGGTTCCCCCACCCAGGGCAGCGTTTCGTAGCCCCATAGGGAGCTCCACCGAAGGTCCCAGTGGCACAGCCCGCATGCGGTTCCCCCACCCAGGGCAGCGTTCGTCGGGAGCTCCACCGCCCCATAGGGAGCTCCACCGAAGGTCCCAGTGGCACAGCCCGCATGCGGTTCCCCCACCCAGGGCAGCGTTTCGTAGCCCCATAGGGAGCTCCACCGAAGGTCCCAGTGGCACAGCCGCATGCGGTTCCCCCACCCAGGCAGCGTTTCGTGGCCCCATAGGGAGCTCCACCGAAGGTCACAGTGGCACAGCCCGCATGCGGTTCCCACCCAGGGCAGCGTTTCGTAGCCCCATAGGGAGCTCCACCGAAGGTCCCAGTGGCACAGCCCGCATGCGGTTCCCCCACCCAGGGCAGCGTTTCGTGGCCCCATAGGGAGCTCCACCGAAGGTCCCAGTGGCACAGCCCGCATGCGGTTCCCCCACCCAGGGCAGCGTTTCGTAGCCCCATAGGGAGCTCCACCGAAGGTCCCAGTGGCACAGCCCGCATGCGGTTCCCCCACCCAGGGCAGCGTTTCGTGGCCCCATAGGGAGCTCCACCTAAGGCCCCAGTCGCGCAGTTCGCATGCGCCCCCCCTTCCCCCCCACCCAGGGCAGCGTTTCGTGGCCCCATAGGTAGCTCCCCCGAAGGTCCCAGTGGCGCAGTTCGCATGCGTCCAGTACTGCGTTTCGTGGCCCCATAGGGAGCTCCACCGAAGGTCCCAGTGGCGCAGTTCGCATGCGTCCTCCCCACACCCAGAACAGCGTTTCGTGGCCCCATAGGGAGCTCCACCGAAGGTCCCAGTGGCGCAGTTCGCATGCGTCCCCCCCCCACCCAGTACAGCGTTTCGTGGCCCCATAGGGGGCTTCCCCGAATGCGATACCCACAACTGCATATGGTTGGGTCGTTCGCCAGGCTAATTAGTGGTTTGACGTTTCCTCTACTTTGACCCCCCGAGGGGCCTCGCTGTTCGAGCTATGGGAAAGCATAGTGGGCCGATTGCCCACACTCTTATCGTGTTTTCGAGTTTCCCATAACTCGACCCCCCGAGGGGTTTCGCTTTTCGAGTTTCATGGGCACTCGGAATTCGAATCCTCAGAAAGTGCCCCGGGTTTGCTCCAACTGTGCAATCCGAATTATGGGAATTATTATGGGAAACTCATAGCGGGCCGAATGCGGACACTTTTTATGGTGTTTTCGAGTTTCCCCTAGTTCTGATTTGTGGAAAACGCATCGTGGGCGGATTTTCTAGACTTTTTCGTAATGTTTTCGCGCTTCCCTTGATTCGCATTGCAAGCTTTGGGGAACTCCCGGGGGAGCCTTTAAGAGGGGCTTGCAAGGACTCCGGTGTCTGGGGGCAATGGGCCCGATGTGCGTGTCCCATGATTCACACGACGGCGGGGGGCCCGCCTCGGGAAACGGGGTCGAGGAGGGGTCCAGGGGTCCGTGATTCGGAGAGGTCGAGCCGCCGGATGTTTGGGTCGACATCGTCGTCGCCGCCGTTGCCACCGTCGCCGTCGCCGTCGCCGTCGTCGTCGCCGTCGCCGTCACCGTCGCCGTCGCCGTCGCCGTCGCCGTCGCCGTCGCCGGTGCCGCTGTCGAGGCCACGGGGCGCGTGGACTACAAGTTCGCCACGGACAGCCAGGCGCTGGACGCCATGCGGGTCGTGAGCAGGAAGGAGGGCATCGTCCCCGCGCTGGAGAGCCCTCCGCGCCGCCGCCGCTCCGACAGATCACGGGTCCAGAGCTCCGACGATCTGCTGTTTTTTCGATCCCAGCGTTTCCCCTCGGGTGTTCGGCCTCTGGGGCCCCGTTGTCGAGCCCCGGTGCCACGCAAAACGGAGCCGTACACTCCAGGCGATGCTTGAGAAAACCCAAGTTTTCGGCCAGAGTCTCGATTATTCTTAATGTTTCAATGTAAATCCTAAAATTTGAATAGACATTCTGGGTTTGATTTCAAATTCTGAGACGATGAATTTCTGAACCCATGATTTCTAAAGCATTTCGCAGGGTGTAGCGAAAAACGACCCCGTGGAAAGCGGTCTGGAACTCTGGTCGGGCGGGGATAGGACCGGGACAAATCGTTCCAGAGCCTTCCAGGACGTTCTCAGAGCCGTCCGGAGCGCTCTGGAACGGCCGCGGGTCTCGACATGTCCCAGAACGCTGGATCTCAGAGATCCCCGACGTATCCCGATCCCGCTTTGTCCCTGTCCTGGCCTCGTCTTAGCTGGGGCCGCGGATCGATAGAAGACTACATCGGCGGGTGTTTGGGAAAGAGCGCCAGTGGATCACCTCGTCATTGAAAAGGGGGGGTGCTCCCAGAACCCCCCCCCTCCCTCCCTTCAAGGGGGGGGACATTTTCGGACGCCCCCCCCTCCCCCCTTAGGTTAGGTCTTAGGGTTAAGGTCAGAAATTAGGGTTAGGGTTAGGGGGTTAGGTCTTAGGGTCAGGGTTAGGTTCTTTGGGTTAGGGTCAAGGATTCGGGGTAGGGTTATGGGCTAGGGTTAGGCGTAAATGGTAGGGTTCGGGTTTAGGGTAGGGGTTAGGGTTAGGGTGAGGGTATTCGGGGTTAGGGGTTAGGGTTGAGGTAGGGGTTAGGGTTAGGGTATGGGGTTAGGGTTAGGGGTTACGGTTACGGTTTAGGATCGGGGTTAGGGTTAGGGTTAAGGGTTCGGGCAGGGGTTAAAGATAGGGGTTAGGGTTAGGGTTGGAGTTAGGGTTGGGATTAGGGTTAGGGTTAGGGTTCGGGTTTAGGGTTAAGGTTAGGGGTTAGGTTTAGGGTTCGGGTTCGGGGATTGCGACTAGACTTTAGGGTTGAGGTTAGGTTAGGGTTAGGGTAGGCGTTAGGGTTGTGATTAGGGGTTATATTAGGGTTAGGGTTTAGGTTAGGGGTTAGGGTCAGGGGTTAAGGTGGTGGTCAGGGTAGAGGTTAGGGTTAGAGTAGGGCTTCGGGTAGTGCTTAGGGGTTAGGGTTAGGGCTTAGGGTTAATCTTAGGGATTAGGGTTAAGGGTTAAGGGTTAGGGTAGGGTTTAGGGGTTAGGATTAGGGCATAGGGTTGGGGTTAGGGATTCGGGTCAGGGTTAGGGGTGGGGCTAGGGGTTAGGGGCAAGACCCCCTCCCCGCCCGCAAGCCGTCTCGCTCACTCCCACCCGCCCTCCCAACACATACGTAGCACCCGAGTCTGGCCCGAGCCTCAGCATATTCAGCAGTCGTCTTTGGATGGGCAGCTACTGGGGGCCAATCCGCCGCCGCCGCCCGCCGCCTCCGCCGCCGCCGCCGCCGCCGCCGCCGGGGCGCCGCCGCCGCCTCCCCGCTCCCGCCGCCGCCGCCCCGCCCGCCGCCGCCGCCGCCGCCGCCGCCCGCCTGCCGCCGCCTGCGCCGCCCCGCCGCCTGCGCCGCGCCGCCGCCGCCGCCACCGGCCGCCCCCCGCGCCAAACCGCGCCGCCCCGCCGCGCAGCCGCTGCCGCCACGCCACCGCCGCCGCCGCTGCCGCCGCCGCCGCCGCAGCCGCCCGCCGCGCCGCCGCCGCCGCAGCCGCCGCCGCCGCCCGCCGCCGCCGCCGCCCGCCGCCGCCGCCGCAGCCGCCGCAGCCCCGCCGCCGCCACCGCCGCCGCAGCCGCCGCAGCCGCCGCCGCCGCCGCCAAGTGTACTCTGTATTGTTTTTTACAGGGATGGTGGGGGGGGGGGCCGCATCGGGTTGGCTGCGCATGTTCAGAATTTGGAGGCAGAGTGTGTTTGTATTGTTTTTTACAAGGGATGGTGGGGGGTGTCGTCATGGACCTGGGTTGGCCCCCAGTCGCCTGGGGGAGGGGGTGTTTATTAATAGGGAGCAGTGATTCAGGTTAGGGTTAGGGTTTAGGGTAGGGGTTAGGGTTCAGGTCAAGTTAGCCAGCTCGAACGAGCCACTCCGTCCACTCCCACCAGCCCTCCCACAACATAAGAAGCAAGTGCGTCGCGGCCGACGCCTGTCGCTCATCTTGTATCGTGTGCGGCCAGACGTTCAGCGAGCGACATGAGCTGCGTCCTATTCCTGCCGCGTATTGATCAGCGTCGACGAGAAACAAAACCGCGCGCGATGTACGCCGGGTCCCGCTCCGGCCTCTCATGTTGCATCGTCGGCGACAACATGTCCAGCGCGCGAAGTGCGCCGCGTCTCATTCCAGCCACGCGTGTTGCACCGCCAATCTTTTCGCTCCTGCCGCGCATGGAGGAGGGCGAGGAGGAGGATGAGGGGAGGGAGAGAGGGAGGGAGGGAGAAACTGAGGAGGAAGAGGAGAATGCCTCTTGGGAATTTGCGGGGCGTCCCATTCCCGCTGCGCGATTCGCAGCGCCGACGAGCAGAACATACATCTTGGTAAGAAAACGTCGACGATGCTGTGTTTTTTCGGGACAGGTAGGACGGGGGGTCCCTCGTAGGGTTGGCCAGGCGTCCGCGCGCGATGTGCGCCGCGTCCCATTCTTGTAACACTTTTCGCAGCGTCGGCGACAAAAAAGACCATGTTGACGAGCAAAACGTTGAGTTTGTATTGTTTTGATGGGTAGGACGCGACCACCGGCTTAGGGTTACCCAAGCGATGTTCATTCCGTCCCATTCGTGCTTCACTTTTGCAACTCGACGACATGTTGGCGAGACACAAATGGGGCTAGTGTTTTTTGTTGACAGTTCGGACGGCGGGGTTGCTATTGGCCGGCTAGGTGGGGATGTGGGGGTGTTTACTCATAGGAAGTAAGGATTCGTGGGTTAAGGTGTGGGTTAGGGAAGGGGAGGGGGTTAGGGTTAGGGTTTCGGGGTTTGGGTTAGAGCTTAGGGTGAGGGTTAGGGATTAGGCTTAGGGTTAGGGGTTAGGTAGGGTTTAGGGCTTAGGGTTAGTTCTTAGGGTTAGGGTTAGGGATTATGATTTGGGTGAGGGGCTAGGGTTAGGAATAGGAGGTCGGGTTCGGGTTTAGGATAGGGGTTAGGGTAAGGGTGAGGGTATTCGGGGTTAGGGGCTAGGGTTGAGGTAGGGGTTAGGGTTAGGGTTGGGGTTCGGGTATGTGGCTAGGGGTTAGGGTTAGGGTCAAATTAGCCAGCTCGACCGAGCCAGAGGGCTCCGTCCACTCCCACCCGCCCTCCCACAACATAAGAAGCAAGTGCGTCGCGTCCGACGCCTGTCGCTCATGTTATATCGTGGGCGGCCAGACGCTCCGACACGACAACGGGCGCGCCGGTGGCGAACCGCACTTGCTTGAGGCATTATGAATCGCCGCCCGCCCAGTTCCTCAACCCGACGGGCCGCAGCGTCGACGACAAGAAAGTCCATGTTGACGAGCAAGCGTCCCCGCGCGATGTGCGCCGCGTCCCGTTCCCGCTGCGCGATTCGCAGCGCCGACGAGGAGAAAGTTCATGTTTGCAAGAAAAGCGTCGACGTTGCGGACTTTTTGGTCAGGTAGGACGGGGGGTCCCGCGTAGGGTTGGCCAGGCGTCCGCGCGCGATGTGCGCCGCGTTCCATTCCTGTAACATGTTTCGCATTGTCGACGACGAGAAGGTCAGGTTAGGGGTTAGGATCGGGTTTAGGTCAGGGCTGGAGGTTAGGGTTAGGGCTTATGGGGGCTGGATTAGGGGTTAGGGTAAGGGCTAGGGATTACGGTCAGGGTTTGGGGTTAGAGTGGGGCTAGGGGTTAGGGTTAGGTCTTAGGGTTAGGTTTCAGGGATTGTGTTCAGTTATAGGGGCCCGGATTAGGGGTTAGGGGTAGGGTTCGGGCCAAGTTTGCCAGCTCGAACGAGCCAGATGGCTCCGTCCACTCCCGCCCGCCCTCCCACAACATAATCTGCAAGTGCATGGCGTCCGACGCCTGTCGCTCACCTTGTATCGTGGGCGGGTTTCCTACCGACGGAGGACGACGAAGACCGACGTCCTTTTCGCAATGCCATTTGCACTGTCGTCGCCGGGTCGGCTCAGCTCCGAGTGCGCCCCGTCCCCCGAGAAACCCGGACCCGTTGCCCAGCAGTCCCGCCATGGAGGCGCTCGGACAATTCGCCGCCGGCGCCGCGGCAGCCGACAACGGCCGCGACGCTACAACGTCGCCGACGCGTAAGGGTGACTTTTCGCCGGGGTGACCTTTTGCGCGCTGTTTTTTGGCCCTCGGGGGGGGCCTTCTTTGCCACGGCCGGAGGGGTCGGGGGGTCGAATTTGGTTTGATCTCTTACGTGGACACGACAACGGGCGCGCCGGCGGCGAACCGCATTTTCTTGAGGCATTATGACTTGCCGCCCGCCCAGCTCCGCAACCCGACGGGCCGCAGCGTCGACGACAAGAAAGTCCATGTTGACGAGCAGGCGTCCCCGCGCGATGTGCGCCGCGTCCCGTTCCCGCTACGCGATTCGCAGCGCCGACGATGAGAAAATACATGTTGGCGAGAAAAACGTCGACGCTGCTGTGTTTCTTTTTGACAGGTAGGACGGGAGGTCCCGCGTAGGGTTGGCCAGGCGTCCGCGCGCGATGTGCGCCGCGTTCCACACTTGTAACACTTTTCGCAGCGTCGACGACAAGAAAGTCCATGTGGACGAGAAAACCGTGACTTTGTATTGTTTTTGATGGGTAGGACGCGACTTCCCGCTGAGGGTTACCCAAGCAATGTTCATTCCGTCCTATTCCTGGTACCGTTTTCGCAACTCGACGACATGTTGACGAGAACAATGAGTTTGTTTTGTTTTTTGTCAGTCAGGACGGCGGGGTTGCTATCGGCCAGCTAGGTTTTTTGTTTGTTTTTTTTTTTTTGTCTTCTTCCTCTCCCATAAGAAGTGTGGATTAGGGGGTAGGGGTTAGGGTTAGGGTCAAACTAGCCAGCTCAAGCGAGTTAAGTATGGCATGCCCATTCCCACCCGC